GGCTTCGGTGTGTTTCGCTTGTGGCGCGACGACAGCGCCGCTACATCATCCCCCTGCTCTGACCGGAGTTCGATAGTGCAGCCTCGTTGCCGACAAATGTGTAAGTGCCAGTGGATTGCCTTGTAGTCTGCGGTGAGTCGAGAAGAAGACAAGTAATCTGCGAGAGTGCCGTGAAGCAGAGGCGAGCAGTAAGGCTCAGAGCCGTACCGAACACTATAGCGCAGATAGTAGTTTGAAGGAACAGGAAGCATTATTATTCCAGTGCTGCGATGAACCTTGTGAAGCTAGCTGGCTTGCAGGATATGAAGACTGCAGACGATATCTGCTTGGGAGCGAATGGGTGGGGTATTTTATGACGATGATGAAGCTTGAAGTTTCCGAAGGTTGTTGGTTGCGTGTATTAGCCCTAATATCGTAGTTTTGGGCCGATCTACGCAGAACGAGCTTACAGTATCTTGAATTCTTGCAGTGGTATGCTTGGGCTTGGATTTAATTTTATTAATTATACGATGCCAAGCAGTTGGCAGCACCGTTCTTCTCTATTGAATTTAGAATGTTTTTTAATTTCAATAGACTCGCGTACCATCTATGGTAGGATTCATTGTTCTATTGCGAGATTTTGTAGTTTGTCAAATCTGATGTAATGGTAGGAACTACCTTAAATATTTTCACAGACTGCAGACTTACTGGAGAGTTACGTGATCGTCACTTGTTCTGCGTAAATCGCACTAAAAATTAATATTTAAAAACTGAAGGTAACCGTGCTATGACATTGGGACGTCAATATCTTAGCCGAGGTCGCTGAATAATAATATACTTAAAAAAAAGGTGTTTTACGATAACATGCGTACATTATATTTAACTACCTACCTGAATTGTATTATGACGGATTTATTATACCAATACCTAATTATTATATTAGTTATTTTAACTTGTAAAAAATACTATGTTTATGAATCAAATTACTTCAACTTATTTTAAAGAATACATCTATGAGATATTTAACATTTAGGTAATTAAGATAAAATTCGTATAATTTATGAAACTAACTCTCTTTTCATTAGGAGAGATATTATATTCGTATATTTTCATGAATATTACATTATACTTAGCCATTGTCTTACGAAAATTATGTTTGTTTTATTTTTTTCTTTCCACTCACGAAGACTGTATTAAAGATAATATTTGTATGAATTAGCTTGCTTACATTCATCATAATCATCATAGTCATCATCATTACAGCCTGTCATAAGTTTAACAGCTGAATATAGGCCTCGCCTACAGATGCATGACGGCATCTAAGTGGGGATATTTGCCGTATTGACCAAGCTTGACTGTCGAATTGGCCAGGTAACGCAGTTTTTATTAGATATATTGATTTATTTGGTATACTGTTATCGGAATGATGCTGCTAATCATCTTCCGTTTTATTTCCTTCTGTCACCTTTAACGACACCCGCGTGATAATATAGCGGTAAAACAACCCGCCACTTCACGACTTTACTTAATAAGTAAAGTCCTGGCTAATAGTTAATTAAATTTATGAAATATATGAAAAGATTAAGGTTATTTAAAAAAATTATATTTTGACTTGGCAGCGATTCCAAAAAATAACAGTTATTTTGACAACCAAGAAAAGAACATTTTTTACTTGGTCGGGGCTCATTATAGCGAAGTTTTCTCCTAAATCGATTTCTGTAATCCTCCTTTAACTCCTAACCGAGACCGTAATCTACAGTCACTAGGACGGGAAAACCACTGCTCTGTCGACATATATCATATTTAAACTTTTGGAATGGCTCAGCCTCCAAAGCCCGTATGAATAACTTGAACCTTATTTCACCCGTCCCGCTCGAATTTAAAATAGACTCTTATGTACGATAACTACTAATATAACGTCTACTTATTCCTACTCTTTACGTATTAATATATTTTCCACGTGATTATTTCGAATTATGTCTTATTTTCTAAGCTAGCGATAAATCCTACGTATATCTTGTGCGATATCAATAAAGGGCGCGAGAAATTCATAAGCAGAATCTTACCTCAGTTTCGGTATCATAGGAAATTAATGACCTGTTCTTATAGGTATTAAGGAAATTGTCGGTCGGTTTCACGTTATGTGTTCTAGCGAATTTTAAGTTACTAAATAAAGTTGCTTTCGAAGCCCAGAACCGCAGTCAAGATTGAGACTAAACTGTATTGTATTTTATGTTGTATACATATATGCATATAGTAATTTTTATATTGTAAAGTAATTCTGTATTAGTCTGTATTTCTCACGATTGGGACAGTCCGATTTGAACACGAAAAGTTCGGATCAACCATGTAAGAATCAAAGACGCACACAACGACCGCGTTATAAAGTAGCAAACTACTGCTAAGTTTTTATAGTGAATGACGGAAACTGTTTTACTTGTAACAATACCTCGTCCATCATCTTATTCCTCGGGGACGACAACTCATCTGCACTTTTATTCGTAACCGAGAATAGATGTGGGCTCTATGCCTACGGCATCCACTTATCATCTGGTGGTCGTTTGTTTGTTTCTTAACTAAATATTCATTTTTTAATATATTTTCTCAAACTTATAAAAAGCTAAAGTTACAGTTTCATCATTCATCATAATCATCATTATAGCACTTTATAAGTCCACTGCTGAACATAGGCCTCCCCCAAGGTATGCCACAAAGCACGGTCCTGAGCTACCTGCATCCATCGACTTTCTGCATGTCTTACCAGGTCGTCACTCCATCTAGTGGAGGGTCACCCTACACTTCGCCTACCGGTACGAGGATGCCACTCGAGAACCTTTTTTCCCCAACGGTTGTCAGTTCTTCGAGCTATATGGCCGGATCATTGCCACTTCAGCTTACTAATCCGTTGGGCTGGTTCTACTGCGGATATCCCCATTTCTAAGTTTACCACGCAGAGAAACCCTGAGCTTAGCCTTCTCCATTGCTCGCTGAGCGACTTTGAGCGTCCTCGTACGGCCAGCAGTGAAAGACCACGTCTCAGTTCCATATGTCATCACTGGCAACACGCACTAGTTGTACAATTTCATTTTCAGGTTTTGAGGTATACCTGACGAGAAGATGTAACGTAATTTCCCAAACACTTCTCAGCCGAGATGAATCCGTCGATTGACCTTTCGGTCGAATTTGGACTTACCTAGTCGGACTATTTGTCCCAGGTAAATGTACTCGTCAATTACTTTGAGCTTAGTGCTCCCAACAACTACCGGCATAGGTGTGACATGGACATTAAACATGATCTTTGTTTTGTCCATGTTCATCTTAAGACCTATCCGTTGGGAGGCACTATTGAGGTCATTGAGCATAGCGCGCATATAATTTAATTCGAATAGGAAGAAACAAATAGAAAATTAACAACCAGTTCGCTTTTGATAAGTATGGAAACTGTATGAGTAGAGAACTGTTTTTAAGTTTCGTGTGAAAAAAAACTTTATTTTAAGAGAAATAACTTTACTTCAAAGACTGCTTGGCATAAGAAGAATAAAGGGTTACAAATAAAGCAATTTTTTTTTTATAATATTCTTATTTAAAATCTCAAAATACTTCAAAATTTATTTCTCGTGTGCTTGTATCCGGTTCCAAATCTGATGGTGGCTCAGGAGATGATAAGGCTATGGACTCCAAAGAATTATTTCCCGTTTGTGGTTCAGGTGATGGTAAGGCTGGGAGTCTAAATAATCCAGCCTTACCATCACCTGAACCACAAACGGGAAATAATTGTTTAGAGTCCATAGCCTTATCATCTCCTGAGCCACCATCAGATTTAGAACCGGATACATCACACGAGAAATAAATTTTGAAGAATTTTGAGATTTTAAGTAAGAATATTATATAAAAAATTGCTTTATTTGTAACCCTTTATTCTTCTTATGCCAGCAGTCTTTGAAATAAAGTTATTTCTCTTAAAATAAAGTTTTTTTTTTTCACACGAAACTTAAAAACAGTTCTCTACTCATACAGTTTCCATACCTATCAAAAGCGAACTGGTTGTTTATTTTCTATTTGTTATGTAACTTTAATTTATCGCTATAATAAAAAAAGTTTGATCATAAAAAATGCATCTGTAAAGTCAAATAAAAAAGTCATCCTACTGCTTATTTCTATACTATGTCGCTGGTGGGGTCATGCAAGGGACAGCGCTAAATGCCTACTTTTGCAGGAATACAGGTATTTAATATGGCACTATATGGATCAACGCATTGATCTCTTCATACGTATTTAATTATTAAATTGTTACTTTTGACTTATCCTTACATCCATAAAGTAAAGTAAAGTAAAGTTACAGCCTATATACGTCCCACAGCTGGGCACAGGCCTCCTCTCATTTCTGAGAGGGTTTTAGGGCAAGGAATAGTCCGCCGCGCTGCCCCAATGCGTGTTGGCGAACTTCACATGTCTTCGAAATATTTTTTATCTTATTCCTTAGACATGCAGGTTTCCTCACGATGTTTTCCTTCACCGCCGAGTACGTGGTAAATCAGCACTTAAAATTGCAATTAACAATTTCATTGGTGCCGGCGGAGATCGAACCCGGTTTGCTCGTGTATTGTGAAATTTATAGCGAGCGCTAACCATCTGAGCTACCACGGCTCTCTTAATCCATAATTAATAATAATTCCTAATATCATAATTAATATCCTATTGTCTTTGCATTCGCATAGCATCCCTTTTATTAAGTTTTTATGACCGTAACGCCTTTGTTCGCGCGCATAGTTTTATTATACCCACGTGTTCACCACACCTGTTACTTTTTTCTATGCTTCGACATTCCTTTCATTGTGCGAGCTAATTAAGATCGGTATTTATCACTTGCAAAGTAACATCTGGCCGCCTTTTTTTTGCATCCTGTTTTAGCCATCTGTTACGCTTATTATTTTTACATTTTTATTTCTTGTTTGCTTTTTTTTTTTTGGATAAAATTTTTTCATAGTTTTTTTAACGCATATTAAGATTTCTTTAGAATAATGTCTGACGCTAAATTGAAAGAATTAGTAAGAAAACGTGGAAGCTTAAAAGCAAAGCTTACTCATTTTGCCACTTTTTTAAATTTAATTCAGCCTTGCACCAGCTTAAACCCTTCTCAATTAGCAGATATGGATTTTCGTCTTGGTAAAATAGAATCGCTTTACGGTGAACTCGATGTATTACAGAAAGAGTTGGAGCTGATGTCAGCGGACATTGACGCCGCGTATTCAGAACGGGAGCAGTTCGAGGAGCAATACTAAGCGCTAGTATCCCGAGCCCGCGCGCAACTACCGAAGTTGTCGCCTACCGTGATGCCCGCCGCTACCCTCAGCGATGACTGTACCCGTACAGCCTTTGGCTGCAAGCAGGACTTCGTGAGACTACCAAAGATAAACTTGCCTCATTTCGACGGAAACTATCAGCACTGGCTCGAGTTTAAAGATACGTACATTTCTTTTATTCACAATAATAACAGCATACAGGACATTAATAAATTTCATTATTTCCATGCTGCTTTGGCAGGCAGCGCATCATTAATTATAAAAAGCATTGACTTTAAAGCCACTAATTATTCCATTGCTTGAGAATTATTGTGCGAGAGGTATGAGTATGACAATGAGAGATTATTGGTGAATAATCATTTGCAGGCACTTTTTAATTTTTCGAACATACAAAGAGAGTGTAGTAGTTTGCTGCGTAATATAGTAGATGCTACAAATAAAAATTTAAGAGCGCTTAACGCTCATGGTCAACCTACTGAATACTGGGACACAATTATTATATACATAATGTCCAAAAAAATGGACCTTGTAACCAGTCGTCAATGGGAAGGATTAAGAAATAATTTACCCAAATTACCAAATGTAGAACAATTTGTAAAATTTTTAACTAACAGAGCTGATCTTATGGAAACTTTAGACAATAATAAAAATAATTTTTCAAAACCTTCTGCGTCTTTTTCTAACAATTTTACACCAAAATCTAAAAATTGTCACACAACATCACATAATTCGCCTAAGAACATTACCTGCCCTTTGTGTTCTAAGGATCATTTTTTATTTAATTGTCAAGCATTCAGAAATCTTGATATTGAATCACGCATTAAAAGGGCTTCTGAAAGCGAGGTTTTTATAAATTGCCTTCGACCAGGTCATACATATCAGTCCTGCAAACTTTCTCATTGCAAATACTGCAAATATAAACACAATACCCTCTTACATAGAGAGATAGTAGATACAAAACCAACAGTAGATAGTGTAGTACTTTCTACGAACATTATTTCTTCTCCTTCAAATTCTTGTTACAATGACCAGGCTCTTGTATTGCTTTCCACAGCATTGGTAAAGGTGCCAGACTTCAATGGAGACTTCAAACTTCATCACCCGCGACCTGTGTGAAAAGCTTGGCTTGGTAAGGCGCAACATAAGCTCCATAATCTCAGGTATTAATGGTCAGACTTCAAGTACCCCGGAGACCTGTTACTTGCATATTCATTCTTTTTTTGTGGTTATCAGGCGAGCATAGACTGTTACATTTTACCTCAAATTACAAATTCGCTGCCTAGCTCTTATATAGATATGCAACAAATATCTCTCTTGCGGTTGAGTTTGTTCTTATTAAGTTAGGTAATAAAGTCACTCATCCAAATTTGGTTGGCTTATTTCAGGCTATGTATACCATTCGCCTTCTCGTACTCCACCTTCTTTGTGTCATTTTAGTTTACAAGAAGAGTCTGAACAGCTTACGCGCTTTTGGGATTTAGACTCCGTGTCTTCTGTGCAAGGACTTTCTACGGAAGAGCAGAAGTGCGAAAGTGAGTTTCAAGAACCATTAGAGGATTCAACCAATAGAGTACCATTAAAGGATTCGCCTGATAGCTTAGGTGACTCTTACCTAATGGCCAAACGTCGGTTTCTATAATTAGAACGTAGGTTCGAACGCGATTCTACCTTTAAACAAAAATGGCTGGATCGAAGATGGCCCATTTCCCTGCAACCGTAGCACTTTGGGCTGTAATTTTTATTGTGGTCGCGAACCGTAACTGCTGCAACCTCCCTAAAGCGAGGGAAACGATGATCCTGCCGCCACCAGGTGGTGCTGTTAGCTGCACTACCCTCTCGAGATCGATCAACTTCCCTTTCTACGGTTCGCTTAGGGCAGCTGGATCGAAGATGGCCCCTTTCCCCACAGCCATAGCACCTAGGGCTGTATCCATTATTGCGGTCGCGAACCGCTGTAGCTGCGGCTACTTCCCTGACGCGATGGGAACGAAGATCCTGCCGCACGGCTTCCACCTCCAGTGCCCCATGCACTCTTAAATTTATCCAAGGCGTTCTTAAGCGTCACGTGGTGCCTGAGCCTCACTGCAGCTCTGACTTTAAGGTCGCGGATGCCGTCGATGAATGTCTGCACCAGGTTCACTTCAATGAGCGCAGGTATAGACTGGTGTGCTTTCCGAACTATCTTCTCCACCTCAAGGGCCAACTGCTGCAGGTTTTCTTAGCTGCGTTGCAAGCGAAATCTAAACTGCGCACGAAAGACGTGTTCCAGATGAGTGTCGCCATATCTCGCAATCTCCAATGCCTCAAGGAGCTGCTCATAAGTCACTTTCTTACCGAGAACTTCCAACACAGTTAAGGCTTTGTTGCGTAGGCCTAGGGTGAGTGCAGTCATGGCCTGGCTTTTATTCCAGCCGTTCGCCTCCATGACAGCCTCGAACTGGATTTTGTAGGCCGACCAGGAAGAAGTCCCGTCGAACGGCGGCACTTTGAACCCACGTAGCGAAGGTGTTGTAGCTACTACGGCAGCTGTAGTTCCATCGCCTAGTTTGAGGTCACCCAGCGCTTTCTTCACGTCAGCCATCACGTTGTTAACCCGATTGTTTACTTGGTCGATTTGTGTTTTAGCGTCCTCGGTTTGGGTTTCAGCTTCTGACAGACGGTTGTCATGTTGAGCAATCATATCCTTCACCTCCCTTATCTCTTTCCCAAAGGTTGCGTGAAGGTCCTTCATGAGGAGCATCTGCTCTTCTGACCGATGAGCCTGATCCGCCCGTCGGCGAGCCTGCTCTTGCAGCATCACCATCAGAGCACCTAAGTCAAGTGCTGCAGATGTAGGCGCTACTGACGGGCCTGCAGCCGGTGGCTGGCACTCCGACGTCTGTGGCGTTGCACCACCAAATCTTCTTTGGTACTTCTCCTGCTGGCGTTGACTTCGGGAACGGAAACCCTCCGTTGCCTCCTTGGGTAAAATTTGTATGATTTTATCCCACTTATGACACCAATTGTTACGAGCATTGGGTTCGTGACAGTAAAAACTGCCGATTGAATTACCAAAATTAACACTTTAACTATACACCAATTAAAATTAAAAGAACTAATATTAATCTGTTCTTTTCTCGGCTTCGCTTGTCTTGCCAAATTCAATATTGCCCCGATTGTGGCAAGCTACAGAAACAGAAACAGAAACTGAAACTTTTTTATTCAATGTAGATTATAACAATACTTATTGGAAGTCACTTTTTTAATTTACCACTGGTTCGCAAAAAAAAAACTGTGTCCTGGGAAGAACCAGCAAGAAACCCAGCGGGACTATTTATTTTCCAATAATAGCTTACAATCATGTTTACAATTAACAACACAAGACAAATTAGAAATAGCTTGGTAGCGATCACCCTTCCCAGGGGTTATTATCATCCATAAATTCCTTAATATTATAATAACCCTTTTTATAAAAACTTAGTTTAATAACATTTTTGAACTTTGTGTATGACAAATTTTGTATATTTTCTGGGATTTTGTTGTAAAATCGTATACATCGCCCCAAGAATGAATTACTGAGTCGGTGGAGTCGAGTAACTGGTACTACTAGCTTGTGTCTGCTCCTAGTATTTACAGAATGAATATCACTTATTTTCGCAAAACTACTTTTATTTTTGTGTACGTACATTACATTTTCATAAATGTATTGAGAGGCCAGAGTTAATATATTGATTTCCTCAAAGTTTTGTCTCAGTGACTCTTTTGGTTTTAAATTATATATTGCTCTAATGGCCCTCTTCTGCAAAATAAATATAATTTCAGTGTCAGTCGCGTGTCCCCATAGCAAAACACCATACGACATAATGCTATGGAAATAACTAAAGTAAACTATTCTAGCTGTTTCAACACTGGTAAGAGTTCTAATCTTTTTTACAGCATATGCTGTAGAACTAAGTCTGCTAGTTAGTTTTGATATATGGGTGAGCCATTGAAGCTTTGCGTCTAGTGTGATTCCAAGAAAAATGGTGGTATCAACAAGACTCAGTTCCTACCCATTTAAAATTACATTAGTATTGACATGTTTAACATTAGGAGTGACGAATTTCATACATTTAGTTTTAGTTCCATTCAAATGAAAATTATTAACATTAAACCAATTGACTAACTTAGCTATAGCATTATTTACTTCGTCGTAATTTAATAACTGTCGTTTTAATTTGAAAATTAATGAAGTATCATCAGCAAATAATACTATATCATGGTTACCCCTACTATGTAAGGTAAGTCATTAATATATACAAGAAACAGAAAGGGGCCGAGAATTGAGCCTTGAGGCACGCCTATTTATACAATCGACCCGGAAGATTTCATACTATTGATGACAACTTTTTGTGTTCTGTCTCTTAAATATGAAATAATTAATTTAATAGCATCGCTTCTTACACCGTAGTGTTGAAGTTTCCTGATTAATGTTTCATGGTGAACACAATCGAAGGCTTTGGATAGGTCACAGAACACACCCGAAGCATCCTGTGAATTCTCCCATTCATTAAATATATATTTAATCAGATCAACACCAGCATCAGTTGTCGAGCGACCCCTTGTGAAACCAAATTGATTTTTATGAAGTAAATTATTTACATTAAATTTTTTTTTACATTTGATTAAGAATAATTTTTTCAAAAAAGTTTACTAAGTGTTGGCAGTACAAAAATAGGTCTAAAATTAGCGGGGTCCAATGTACTACCAGATTTAAATAAAGGTATTACTTTACTATGCTTCATTAAATCAGGAAACACACCAGATTCGATACTAGTATTAAAAATAGTAGATAGTTGAGGTGCGATTATATCTATTATAGACGCAATAACTTTAACGGAAATCCCCCACAGATCGGCGGTTCTCTTAATATCAATAGTCTTAAAATATTTTACAATATCTTTTGATGACACTTTATGAAATATAAAATTCTTTGTTACATTTACATTTTGTTTAAGTAA